CGTCATTTTAAAAAAAAGTAATAAAACATAATTTGATTTGATTTATTTTATTTCATTTAAACTCTTTTTAATTTGTTTTAAAAGTATGATTGATCTTTTTCCTTTTAATATACACTCAGGGTAAAAAAAAGTATATATTGACTCGCGTAACTTTCATGGTTGTAGTTACATTTGAAAATGAAAAAATAATGAAATAATGAAACGTTGAAGGGACTGGTGTGTTGTATGGCTTGACAACGCCTTGCACATGCAGAGAAATTTACCACAGGTACTCTAGGACAGGTGTGAAACCCCTAGGGCATGCCGTTTCCTGCTCTTGCTCTGCTAATCCCTATACACAGGAAATTATCGCGACTAATACTTAATACACAAAGAAACAGAATATATTCAAGTAAACTTGGCATTGATTTTTTTTCTTGAGTATTATTGAGAATAATAAGTTTTAGTGATATAACAACACCCCCCCCCCCCCCCCCCGTTTTAATTGTTTTGTGAAGTTCATCACCATGCACATTCCATCTTCTGTAATTGGAGAAATGTTTAAATTAAAAACAAACCACTGTTTACAAAAGAAGTAAATATCGAGGGAAAAAAATTGTTATATTTTATTGATATCTTTTATAACATTCACGCGCCCACTCACTGCAAACGCTCACCATCGAATATTACAGCTTTCCGGTCATTCGACAATTTCAGGGAAATGCTTGCACATTAATACAGTAAAGTGAAATTATTTAAATGAATTATATTGTTCTAAAATTGGTTAAAAAAAAACATGAACGGTATATAGATATATTTTTTTCCTCATAGGAATGCTGAAAACTGTTAATCGGAACTCGCACTGACTATTGTTTAGCACGTGTATGTAACATTGCAGTTCGCATATAATTTGAAAAGAGAAGTTATTAGAATTTATATTTCCGATATTAAAATTTGTCACGTTAAACTCTCAAATGACTCAGCTTATAAATAGTTTTCTTGATACTATTTAAAAAAAGATGTCGCTTTAGTATTGATATATAACTTAACAAAATTAATAATAATAAATAAAATTAAAAAAAAAACAAAAAAAAAACGATTAAATATATTCTGCTTTAAATTTTTTTTTTGTTCATTCGTTATTTTCACCTTTTGCGAAATACAAGAAAATACTTTCATAAATATACATACACTGCGGGATTTTAATTTGTTTTTTAAAGAGGGAATTTCGCAAAATTCCTGTTCGGGGAGATAACTCCCGTTTGTTTACGATACTAGTTGATCGATGATTTAACCGCGGCGGGGACAGGTAGGTGATGAATTTCCCGCGGAGGGAACGCTGTTTACCTGTCTCACCTGGCCAAATCCCGCGTTGTGTTTATACCGCGACGGGGCGCGGGAAATACGGGATCCGCGTTGCCTGTACTGTACATGTATGGTCAATCAGATTAGAAATACAGCGACTATCAGAATTTCGGGCCGTAAAATAGATCTGATTTTGATTAGATTTCAGGTGTAGGCGAATGTGTGTGTACTGAGGGGTTAGTTAATTCATTCAAGATTTATTATATTGTTCGTTTGGACGAAGGCTTCATAAAAATATACACACTGCTTGTACAGGTACACATCAATGAATGTTCAGATTAATTCAAAAATCGGCGGACATTAATTTATTTAAGTTATCTAAAGGCAATGTTATTTCCAGAGACATTTATATTTTCTGTTTTTTGTCTCAGATTTTTCTTTTTTGTGATTTACCGGTTTACAAAGGCCTGTTTTTAAGAGCTGTTCATAAACGCTGTCAATTAATATATGATCAGAGAAAACGAGACATCTCCCGGTAATTCATTTCTTATGGAAAATATATGGATTGACATCTTAGTATTTACCTGTGTAATTACGATGTTACAAACCGTGATGATGACTGGCCAGGAGGACTACCCGTTATAAAAACAACTCATGATCAACTCAGCGGACCTATAATTGACTTTAATATATGCTGTAAATCAATAAAATCATTTCAGTTTAACCGATATTTTATTGCAAAGATAATGGAAAAAAAGACTTGGGATTTAGAATTTTTCTGAATTTCAAACGCTCGATATGCATATATTTGGGGCGCTCTTGCATATGCACTTATAAAACGTGCATGTTCTGTACTTGCATGCGTGTACATTGTATGTATCCGTAAAACCTTAAGAGAGAGACATTTTAAGGGCGTCGACAAAAGAACGTATATTAGATTACATACATGTACATTTTAAGGGCATCGACAAAAGAACGTATATTAGATTACATACATGTACATTTAAGTTTCAAAAGTTCCATTACTAGTAGGAATTAATTAAGGTTACATATTTTGAATTTTATTATGAATAAAACAGACAATTAACTCGATATCGAGAAATAAATTGTTTATAAAAATAACTATGCAACTTTCCTGTAATTCAGCGAATAAAATATTAAATAAGATACACTAGCGATTTAATCAAAGATATTATGAAATAATCTGAAAAATTCAACATATTTATCCACTCATGACTTAGTTTACAAAATGAATTTGGAATGGCCATTCTATGATTTGTTTTGTGTATGACTAGGTCGCTGGATCACACACGCCGATTGATCCCCGGTGACCTCCTTTGCCACGCGCTATCGAGGGAGGTGTTACATAATTGTAAACACACAAGGTGAATGTAAAAGGCGCACACTTAATGGCTGTAAATAGTCTATGCTTCAAAGTTATGTTTTATTTTCTCAGTATATTGTTTGTTTTTATATGATAAGAAGAAAAGGTTATCTTTTTTTCCCTTTTTTTTAGTAGACTGGTTTATTCGACTTTGAAAAAAATGAAATAAAACGAAAAGTTGTCAAAAAATAACTTGGAAATAAAGCACAAAACACTTCAAGAACCTTATTCTAAAGAATATTAGCATCTAATGTAGCCAGGTTTATTATTTATAGTAAGTTTATTTTAGTTACACGCATGAAGAGCTCTCGTTTACTTGCTGAATGAAAACAGTTACCTGTATATGGGTCAAGCTTCTGGCGCATTTAAAACACAAGACTCGAACAAAATAACATTTTCATGAAATCAATAAGATGTTAAAGAACAACTTTTTTAACGACAGCCATTTTGAAATATTTACCGTTTTTGAGTTCTAAAGCAAAAACTTTAAAGGGCTCCAGATCCCTAATTTGAGGGGCCAGCCCCTTTTTAGTGGTGTCAAATGAAAGGCCTTGAAATTGTGCACAACTTTTATTCTACATGTCTTATCAAAATATTTTTAGTTTTAAAGATACAAAGGAAAATATGTCTAAATTTTCGCTCTTTTAGGCGTTCTTAATTTTGACCCCTAATTAGCGCCATTTTGAATACAGAAATCGAAAAACAAAAACCGATGTGCACAACTTCAATCCTTCTATTATCTAAATTCGGTAGAATTTCTGCTCCAGCTTTTGTAGTCTCGGAGCCTTTGTCTGGAAATGAAGCATAATAAATTTTCATTTAAAGGGCAATAACTCAAAAGCGGAAGTGACTTTTTGAACTGTTTGACAGCATACTGATAGAGTTTTGTAACGTCTATAAACTCTGCAAATTTGAGCAAAATCCGTTGAGAAATGAGCGAGATATGAGGTCTCAAAGTTGGCGTCTAGAAAGGAGAAGAAAAAAAAAAAGAATAATAATCTTAACCATCAGAATCAGTAGAAGGTCTTCCGTTGGAAACGGAAGACCTTAATTACCATTTAGTAGTTCTCTACAGATTTTGAATTACATGTATATTTCTCAAATTGATAGTTGAATAACTATTTCAATATCTCATGCACATACATGTGTATTTTAAAGTCATATATGGCGTATTTTTGATAAGTTCAAACTAACTAAAATTAAAAAGATCTTTCTATTTGTTTTATTACTTTATATAAAGATAGGACTTTTCTGTAAATTACACAATTTAAAACAATCGCGTTTTATAGATACATGTATTAAATATTTAAAACAATAACCGATTTATTTACCGACTCCGCATTTAAATATCAGACACAGTTTAAGGTCAATTTAACTATAGAAACGTGGGGTTATTCAAGTTCAAAATCGGTGAAAATTTTAATATGAACGTAAATAACAAATACCATGTTCATCTACACTCATCTCATATTTTTATTTTTTAGCTCAGATACGCCATATATAGCTTTTAATTTACTATTTCAAAATTGAAATTCCTTTTTTGTTCATATAGATATTTCCATGTAAATATTTTTATTGTAAATGTATCTTCACACAACACATGCACATTAAATACCGTATATGAATGATTTACAAATGTTTTGGCCATAAACACTAAAATACTTTACTGTACATAACTGTGAATATATTCTACACGACATGATTAATCTTTGCGATTGGATCTTGTATTATTCTCATAGTTTGCCTAGGAAGTTTTTGTCTCCGGCCACAAAAAAGTCATTCCTTTTAACTAGTTTAGTAAACGATACAGATAAAAATTTACATTTCCAACTTTTTTCTCTTCGACAACTTTTTCAAAGTTAAGTGTGTTGACTTCTCGATATTTACAACTGAATGTAAATTTTGGCAGTGATAGGTCAATTGCCTTTTATTTAAAATTTAGAATATTTATGTCAATTTACAGGGCTGTCATTGTGTCCGATGTCAGTGGGCGGGGATTATTGAAATTAACATGGAATGCATCGTGTATTTCATTTCTTTGATTTATATTTACATTTTTATTTGACATATAAATGCAATTATTAGGAGACACTGTCTAGTTTGTTTGATATGCCTGGGACTTTAACGAACGTTGGAAACGTACGATATTTCATGCGTAACAGGTTTCCAACTGCATGTCGTTAATGCAATGGTATACCCAATAAACTAGACTGTGATTCAATTCCTTAATAAAATTATCCAACTCAAGTTTCCTTTTTTTTTTTTTTTTTTGGTATACATACCGAGTTGGTCTATAACCACCTGTGTTTTTGCATTAAAACTGTTCTCGGGAATAAAACTTCAAACAAACAAGCAATAAATAGGGATGAGGTATAAACGATTTTCTAAGAATGAAAAGAATTTTTTCTTAATAATCTGGGTAGAAGGTATCTTTCCTACAAAAACGATGAACACCATAGCACAGTATTACAGGTGTCTATACAATTACATTATATCTGAGTCTCTGTTTAAAATATTTATATTCTATCAAAAGTAAGTTTTCAATGATAAGTAGAGCATAAGCGGAAAACGATCGATAAACACTAAATACAAACGCTAATTATGACTAGAATACAAAGACAGCATACTGTATTCCGAGGTAAATGAGGTTCTGACACATGACTGTCTGTTTAACGTATCGTGACAAAATATACTTCAGATATTTAGATATATATACACTACATGTATCACGAGATCACAATAGATACAGGGAAGCTCTCGACAGAAGTACTCGTAGAACACTGAGGTATTCCGAGATTCCATGACATCATGAGGTGGACAAGAGACGAGTATCAATGACGCAACACTTTCACTTTTCCTTCTCTAGATTATGTTTTGGCTTATATTCATGTATGTATTGACTTGCAAAGACAAGCTCCTCATCTAAAGCAAATTTTGAAAAGTGTACGTATTGATGATTTTCATGAAGGAAGTATAGTAAGACATGGCTGACGTCAAAATCCGTATTTCTCGAGTTTTGCCATGGAGAGTTCGTACTGTTTGTCGGCCGACAAGACTTGGCTCCTGACGTGTTCGTCGTCGGCGCTGGTCTGATTCACGTTGTAGTTGTAGAGAACAGAGGGACGACTGAACTCTGGGTTCAGATAATTTGAGGCGTGAACAAGAGGCTGATAATTCATCCATGTACGGTCCATGCTCCGATGGCGGTCCCCGCCTACCAGCGTCCGATCCGAGAGGGATCCGCCGTACACAGGTTCGTAATTCTTGGTATGGTTACCAGTGCTGAAGTCATTCGACAGAGATCCGCCGTATTTTGAGTCATTTGTATGGCGATGTCCGACTTTACTTTTCTCGGTGGAAGGAAATCCTAGAAGAGTTCGCACATTCTCGCGGTTTCTGTCCGTACAACATGGACAGGTAAGATTACTAGAGCCTTCATACAGAGGAATAATATGGCCGTATTGAGCAAAGTGGAGATAATCTGCTACCAGACCGTCTACTAGAGTGTTTGTTGTGTCTACTGGCGTTAATGGCATGTACAAATTCGGGCGCGGTGGCGCCTGACTACGAGGGGACTGATATCTTGGAGACTTCCGCTCCTTTGGAGATTGTGATCTGTCGGCTGGTAGGGGGCGAGCGTGTACCGTAGGACGTGGTTTGGGAGGGTCGTTTGAGGTTCTTAGGACTTCATATTTAGCTGCTGGTCTGACGGAGATCCGGGCGCTTCCTCCTCTACTTGAGAACGTCTCCTCGCGGATTGGAGGGAGTTTCTGGGCACGAGTCACAGAGATCTGACGAGTTTTGCCGGTAGCCATGATGTTGGAGTCAAATAACTGCAACGAATCAAACATTCTGTGTAGCTAGTGCCATCATAAAATTATTATTATTATTACAACGACGAATATTTTAATTGTTGACAAAGGTTGATGTTGGCTTGATGGTATAAAAATCAGTCTGTAGATAAACTTGTACATCTACAATTTTTAATATTTAAGGAATTTGATATGTGCATAATCTACACCAAATTAAATCCCAAAAACATATAGAAATCAATGCATCCATTTTTAGCGAGTGTCTTAGGATTAATGCCACACCAAAATTTTATTTAAATAGTGAGTGATTCAAAATGTATTTATTGGATCTTTAAAACATCTCTTTTGAATTCAGCATTGAAAGATTGATATGCGTTCTTTTTTGTACAGTGTTTTATCTGCAAATAAATCATTCTTCACATTTTCTTTTTAAAAAAAAAATGTGAGAAAAGTTCATATAAAATAATTAAAAGCTTGCGTCTGACTTTCAATGCTGAAATCATATTTCAAAAGAGATGTTTTAAAAAATCGTTAAATAAACTTTGGTGTGTTTTATTTCCCTCAGATACTTCAGTTTATACATGATACTTGAATGGGAATGTTTCAAGAGTAAATGCATATACATGTATATATATTTCATTTACTCAAAATAGAAAGGCCTCCCCATCTTGCAGTTTATGTTTTGAATTACAAAGAGAGTCCGTCAATAGATGCCACATTAAGTGACTGTTAAACCTTTTGTCGGCTTTCTTAGTACGTGTGAAATATAAGTATTTTAATGTATGTAACTTAGCTTGTTTTCACACCAACTCTGTAAAACATTTTTTTTTATTTTGCCCACTGGCAAAAGCCTACGGACAAAGTGCTGTCCCAAATCAACTTTAAAATGGATAATTGACCCTCAAATTCACATGAAACTACTTCCTAAACTGGAAATTTGAAGCATTATAATTCGTTAAATGAATCCGTATATGAATGTGTATAACATAGAACAAGAATATAGAGGCGGATCAATTTGAAGATATAATCACATTTAAATACATTGTATGTCCGATATGTGATACACTTGTGAATTACTCATATTATTGTAATATTTTAATTTCATTAATTTTGAATCAATATTCACTTCAACACGAAAAATGAAATGATTGATTTTAAAAATTTGCTACATTTGACATCCATGTGATGTTTATTTCTTTTCTCAAAAAGAAAAAATATATGAGAGATTGTAGATAAATAAAGGCGTGCGACAGTCGTGGTCCAATTTTACATTTGTCTTTATTTTTTCTACGTTTGAATCTCAGGATCGACTGAAGCTGTTCTAAGTAAAAATTTACATATTTCCAAAAATGATCAATATACAAAATCGATATCATTACTACCGTGCCAAATATATAGGTATTAAAAATATACTGGTTCCGACCCCTCACTCAGAATGTAAACATTATATAATGTTCTGTATTATCTACGGGCACCTGTCTCCGCGAGATATAGCCGAATAACGTCATAATCACCGGCTTTAATTAATTAGAATACCTGTCATCCTGTTCAGGGGTCGGACTAAGTGACGATAATCCCACCCAGCTCTGGCCCAGTACTTTCTCTAGGCCGCCATCTTGTTTATTTATCGCCATGACCACGCGTTTTCTCGTCCACAGTTTTACAGAGATCAATTTTTTTTTAAATCCCACAGCGCAGAACACTAAAAAGTATAGATTTACTAGTAGGTCACGGTCGAGATAAATTGAAATACTCCTTATCGATCTATTTAAAAGACTTTTCAAAATGTTGAAATTGATTTTTAAATATGCTTTGTTCTATTTTAAGCGTATACTTCCCAAAATCAATGAATGTTCCAAATTCAAATCAAAGCGATAATTATTTGTAATCAACAAAACTCTACAAGAAGGCATTTAACAGAATTAGTTTTGTGCGCTAAAACATGACTGATAGTTACGTCGATACTCATTTCCCATTAACCTTATTATTTGGCGGGGGAGTACCTCGGAACAATCAATCTGGCAACTTCCGTGGAGGTTTGTCCTGCGGGATTCTGTTGGCTGACATCGCTCACTTCCAAAACACCGAACATATACCAAATACGGTATCATTTAAGCCTTGATTGAATTATTTATTGTCCCACGCGGACTTTAAAGTCATATCTGCAATTAATTCAACTTTTCCCCCACTTTGATAATGAAAACCTAAGCATGAGCCTATTAGTAACTGATGTATGGCTTCTATATTTTTCCCAGATTCCGTGCCCGGTAAAAATGTTACAACCAGATTTTCACTGGACTGGTGGCTGGGAGAAACAGACATCGTTATTTAAGGATGAGCGCCCGCTACTAAACGAGATCACTGGTACAAGAGGTACATGTACACAATATATATATATTACATACTAAAGTAATAAATACTGGGTTTTATGCCTGATGACACAATAGCCGTATCAGCTAACAGGCACGTAGCATGGGGGGGGGGGGGGGGGCTGACCCCTCCACTTTTTTTCCAAAATAACTTTTTACTGTTGAAAATGTTGATTGAAAGACCGATTGTCCCCCACCCCCACCCCACCCCCACTTTGTGTTGTAGCATAGTCAAATAATGATAATGTAGTAGTGTGTGAATAAAATTTGGTACTGAAAGAAGTTGGAACTTTTTTTTGTTTTTTGTTGTTTTTTTATCCTCCACCTTTCCCTTTACTTCCGTAAATATATCAATACCAAATAAGGTACTTAAAACATGTTCTGAATAATCATAATTTCTATCACTCAACATTCTGAAAAAAAATAGAAAGTTATATTACAAATAACCTCAACAAAATTCTCACCATTTAGCTTTTTCACGACTGACCTATTCTCATTCCATGAAAAAAACCTTTAGCCCATATGAAGAGTCCTGGTCTCATCCAAACTGTTCCGCATTTGTCCTGCGCTTTCCGGAAGCTCATCCATGTTGGATACGATCAGCTACATCTCCGGTGTGTGCAACACCCCTGCACAGCTTGAGAATGCTTCTTCTGAATCACAAGTCATGACTGTCCGGGTCATATAATTGACCATTCCCAAATAGATGATCACGTACTGTAAGCTTAACATATGCGCCCTCTTCACTAAGCTGTTTCATCAATGACTTATACGTTGTTCGTCTCCCGCAGCCGGAAACTGATATGGGCTCTCCATGGTGTCCCCCTGAGCCAGTTGGACTTCTCCGCACTGGCTGATATCCGCCTGATATATATTTAGCATGCAACTATAGATTTGAGTTTTACCCTCTGGAATCAGCTGAATTTGTGTATATTAACAAAATCCATAAAATGGCCAAAATCCATTATGAATTCATGCAATTTCTGCTCTATGTTCTCAAGTCCTGTGACCTCTTGACCCGGGGCCATAAACTTAGACAAGTTCAATTTTGATCCCAGTCTCACTTTTCCACTATGAATTCCTTTGAAAAAAGTTAATACTGAGATCAGAAACGGTCTCGTGTGAGTTTTATGGCCCCTGGGCCTGAACTCACCCTGAGTCCTGTAACTTCTACTCACCATCTAGTCCTGTAACCTCTGGACTTACCCCTAGTCCTGTAACCTCCGAACTCATCCCCTAGTCCTGGAAACTCTGAACTCACCCCCAGTCCTGTAACCTCTACTCACTTCTTACTCATGTAACCTCTGGACTCACTCCCTAGTCCAACCTCTAATCATCCCCTAGTCCTGTAACCTCTGGGCCAAAAAGAGAGGTTACTCACCCCTTTGTCCTGTAACCTCTACTCACCCCTCAGTCCCGTAACCTCTAGATTCATTCTCAAGTCCTGTAACGTCTGGACTCACCCTCTAGTCCTGTAACCTCTGGACTCTCCCACAAGTTCTGTAACCTCTGGACTCAACCTCTAGACCTGTAACCTCTGGATTCATCCATTAGTCCTATAAACTCTTGTCTCACCCAATAGTCCTGTAACCTCTGGACTCAACATCTAGACATGTAACCTCTGGACTCACCCCCTAGTCCTTTAACCTATGGATTCACCTTTTAGTATTGTAACCTCTGGACACATCCTCTAGATCTGTAACCTCTGGACTCACCCCTTAGTCCTGTAACCTCTGGACTCACCATATAGTCCTGTTACCTCTGGACTCATATCTTAGTCCCGTAACCTCTACTCATCAACTAGTTGTAACCTCTGGATTCACCCGCAGGTCCTTAACATTTACTCATCCCCTAGTAATGCAACCCCTGGACTTAACTCCTTGTCTTGTAACCTCTGGACTCACCCTCTAGTCCTTTAACCTCTGGATTCACACCTTGGTCCTATAACCTCTTTACTAACCTCGTAGTCCTGTAACCTCTGGACTCACCTTCTAGTCCTGAAATCTCCGAACTCACCCCCTAGTCCTGTGTTCTCTAGGCTCACCCGTAGTCCTGTTACCAACTCACCCCCTAGTCCTGTAACCTCTACTCACTCCCTAGTCCTGTAACCTCTACCCACCCCTAGTCCTGTAACCTCTACCTACCCCTAGTCCTGTAACCTCTACTCACCCCTAGTCCTGTAACCTCTACTCACTCTTTAGTCCTGTAATCTCTACCCATCCCTAGTCTTATAACCTCTACTCACTCCTTAGTCCTGTAATCTCTACCCACCCGTAGTCCTGTAAACTCTGCCTACCCCTAGTCCTGTAATCTTTACCAACCCCTAGCCCTGTTACCTCTACTCACTCCTTAGCCCTGTAACCTCTACCCACCCCTTGTCCTGGAATCTTTACCAACCCCTAGTCCTGTAACCTCTACTCACTCCTTAGTCCTGTAATCTCTACATACTCCTTAGTCCTGTAATCTCTACCAACCCCTAGTCCTGTAAACTCTACCAACCCCTAGTCCTGTTACCTCTACTCACTCCTTAGCCCTGTAACCTCTACCCACCCCTAGTCCTTGAATCTCTACCCACCCCTAGTCCTGTAATCTTTACCAACCCCTAGTCCTGAAATCTCTACCCACCCCTAGTCCTGTAACCTCTACCCACCCCTAGTCCTGGAATCTCTACTCATCCTAGTCCTGTATCACCTTGTAGTACTTTAACCTCTGGACTCACCTCCTAGTCCTGCATATAATCTTTGGACCCTACCCCAGTCTGTAAATACCAAGTTTATTTTTCAGTGTATGATATTGCAGGCCTGTCATGCGCTAATCTACCTGGGTTTAAAATAATACAAATAAGTAATATTTTATTCTATTTCCACCTTTATGGCCAGTCGAGAACATATCATAAATTAAGACTCTGGTCTGTGTCAGTAAGTACACAGTCCTGCATTTCATCCAAATCTTGTAGTACAGGGATCATTTATTATTTATACCCAAAATTTATTTAGGGACCATTTATTATTCACACTTGGTAAACCAGACAAGTATAAAGTGATTAAGCACAAAATTCTCTGTCTGTTCGGGTTTTCTCTGGAGTGAATTGTGTGTAAACGACTGCATTAACGAGTACGTCAGAGTTTTTCTAGTGCACAACCGATTTAGTGTATTTTTAATATCTGTGAAATTTGGTTCTCTCTCTCTCTCTCTCTCTCTCTCTCTCTCTCTCTCTCTCTCTCTCACGTCTCCTTAGAGAACAACATTCCTTGATATCGTGCATCAATGCACTATAAACATCAATTCTACTGATATAAAAAATCAGATGACTATGATCAGATATCAATAGAACACAAAAAGTAGTATCCATTACTTTAAAAATAGAAGTTAGAATTAGATAAAATTCCTGTATCACCAAGGGAAAGATCAGGATATCCCAAATATGTGAAGAGCATAAAACCTATCTAGCGTATCAAATATACATGTGTTATAAAAGTAACTTTGAATAACATATTTATTCAGTTATCTACAATGTATCAAATATGGCTTATTCTGACTTTTTTTAATACCTGTAGATCGGAGACATTTCATTTTACAAGAAAATGATCATTAATCAAGCCTTGAAAAACTATATTTGAAAAAGTAAAATTCTTTTAATTGATGTAAATGTTGCTCTATAGATAATTTCGGAACGAATTGTCTAAACAAAAATTTGCTCAACAGTTCTTTAAGAATCCGCCATCGTATTTTATGTCTGACTTCAAGAATGCCATTTGGTGGTTTGACTTCTATTGCAATAAGTAAATCTTAGTTCAGCTCAAAATAGCCAAAAAACAAAAAACAAATAAACAAACAAAGAAAAAGCAAAAGAAAAACACAACACAGCATAAAAAAAAACAAACAAACAAACAAAACGAACAAAAGTTAAGACAAACACACAAATATTAGGAGAAGCTCTTCTAAAATTCACGAAAATGGTTCCTCGTCAATCAAAGCTGAATACACAATTCTAATCTGAAAATAGTTATTATCAATAATTCATTTCTTCATCTGACGAAATGACGTCACCACTCACTTTCTCCTTCTCAAATAAAAAGATGAGAGAGAAAACTTTAACGAAGACAGTAATACATGTTTTCTTAAGTACTTGTATCTCAAATGACTACATTTAAGCGTTGAATAATTACATTTGAAAGATATAGTCTCCTAACTGCAACATGTGTGTTAGCAAATTGACCACCAATGTCCGCCATTTATTTATATTTTGATTTCAGTCTTATCTTTCAACTAAGTTGCAGTTAGCAGAAGCGCCTTTTGAACAGCTACTGCGGTAAAACAAAAGAGTGGACAATACTGAAAGATTTTAATCTTTTATCTGATACAAATTGATACAATACCACTTGTGGTCAGTTTATCTAATCTTTAAACAGTAGATATTTTCTTACGCCCTACAGACTTGTTATTGGGCCTTCTGTATTGTGTAGATATCACTTCATGCTTTTGATTTGGACGAAACAAATGTATGACTTACTGGATCTTTTCCTTTATACATACGGCAATATATGGTTTAATGAAATTTCACACACATAAATTATGTGAACCTTGATCATATTTTTGCACGATACAAAAAAGTGTGATCATTGAATTGCGCGAGCTCGTCGGCTCGTAATAAAGAATTGTATGAAAAATTAATCGAGTCCGACCTAGATCAATGTTAAGTGCCCAAAAACGATAAAACGCTTAATATTTTAATTATTTTTCGATTACACATCATATCCAAACTGTTTAATGATTCTGATCATTATTACGTAGCAAAAAATGATTACTTCCGTGTGTTGAGAATAAAAATGGCGACTAGCTATCTAGCAACTCATAAGTAATCCGAGAAGATACAGCATCTTGTAGTCGATAAGTAGCTGTCAATGTAATTCAGAGATGATTTTCTATCAAGGTGTTAAAAGTTGCCAACCTTGCTCAAAATTAAAATAATAGTATGTACTTTTCCTGTACTTTTAATCTTCAGGGACAGCTCTGCTCTGCATGCTCTCAGTCATTTGAGTCCTTGACAGGTCAACCCTGTGTTATATTTATTGTGAAGAAAGTAATTTCATACAGAACTCCTCTATCTTTTCTCTATGAAGACTTTGGGATCGAACTACAAGTATGAGTGGTAGTCGATCATGAAATATATACCTGTATGATATTTTTACTAATGTAATGGACATGAACAGTGTGCAACAAAAATGTTTCTTTTATTGAATACATTTCCTCCGTTTCAAATGCTCTAATGGAGCTTTGTCCCTTTTTATAGCGTCCATTGCTTGCATTCTCAGCCAAAATTTAAGGCGTCATTGGGGTACGCTATGTGTCCCATTTCACAACGTCATGGGACCGCGTTCTTCGATCTATTTTACAGCGTGCCATCTAACAAGGGCATCGGGTTGACATTTTTCATCTATCAAAATGGAACATCTATCTTTTTCGGATCAATAAGCCACGATCTTTTTCGCACACACAAACGACTGTCACAATTATTTTATCTGTAACTATGGGTTCAAGACATGACGAGGATCAATTGAGTCTTTTATAAAATTAAAACCACCAACTCATCTAGTGCACTAACACACCCACCACCCTTTACATCTCAACGCAAATGAGCAGAAAAAGCTCCCACAAAGACCCAGTGTATGACGGGGCTGCGGTCGACGACTCGTAGGTAATGGTGCGTAGCTCGTCCGTGGCATCAGGCGATCGATTTTCTGGCTTTATCGATGTTGTCAGTCTCAATTTAGCAAACAACGCCGACTTATTCGAAGGTCGCGCGCAGTGTATATCGATTTCTCTGTAGAGCGGCGAATAGCGATGAAAAAATGGCGAATGAAGACATCAGCTGCGAGCTGCTGTAGATGAACAAAGACGACACGTTAGCTGGCACGATGAGTGGTGTGAGTCGAATGTCCATCCGAGGATCGGCCAATGTGAACTCTAGAACAGCACTCCAGGTAAGGGTAGATAACTCTTGTTTATAAGACCAGTAGAGCTGAAACCGATCTTTTATGATAATTCCATTTTTCAATTAGCTAGATCCATTTAGTATCTGGAGATTGTTGCCTATTTCAAGACGTTCAATACACCCCGTAATTTAACGCCCCTTTGAAAGTTCTATTGCAATCTTTGGGCCCAATTGATTGCTATATGACGTCACAACTGCGTACTAGTTTCCATATTAAGCAGTTCTATTATGAAGTTGTCCATCCTAAACTTTGCCACTGCTTCTGACAGTTAATTATTCTGTATACTGGCCATTTGGAGAATCTAAACGGTTCTCGTACAGACTTTAATCAATTAAGTACCAATTATTCCCACTGGACTTGGAATCCTCTCTAGTGATCCTTGTATGAAAGCCTTTGTTATTCTGTAGGTGTCCACGTCTCGACAGATATGTGTCTTGACATTCAAACACGCGTGGTCGCCTACATTTATATTAAAAAGAACACTTTTAAGTGGTTCTGATCATTTGTTAAAGTCATTTTAATCTGATAACTGTCTGTGTTAACGTTTGTAAAAAAAAAAATCTTTCATTTTTGACAGATTCCACCAAAGGATCGTTCTGTGCGCCTGCGCGTGATGCCCGAACAGAGCAATGACTATAGAGTGGTGGTTTTTGGAGCGGCTGGAGTGGGCAAAAGTTCATTAGTGTTGAGGTTTGTGAAAGGAACATTTAAGGAGAGTTATATTCCTACCATTGAGGATACTTACCGACAAGTGATAAGTTGTAATAAACAGGTTTGTACATTACAAATCACAGACACTACCGGAAGTCACCAGTTTCCCGCCATGCAAAGACTTTCAATCTCCAAAGGCCATGCTTTCATTTTAACGTATTCCATTACCAGCCGTCAGTCTTTGGAAGAACTGAAACCCATTTATAATGAGATTGTTCAAATCAAGGGTGACCTCCGAGACATTCCGGTAATGCTTGTAGGGAATAAATGTGACGAAGAATGCCGTGACGTTCCTCAAAGAGAGGGAGCCGAGTTGGCAAAAAGTTGGAATTGTGCCTTTCTTGAAACTTCGGCAAAAACAAATTACAATGTGAAGGAATTGTTTCAGGAGCTTCTTCAGTTGGAGACGCGGCGGACAATGAGTCTCCAACTGGAGACGAAGAAAACAAAATCACAAAAAAGAAAGGAAAAGTTAAAGGGAAAATGTGTTGTGATGTAGCCTCCAGTCGTTGTGTGTATTTTCTATGCAGATCAGTATGTGTGCACTTTGTTGAATTCCGTTGCATATATCTAACTTTACTTGACACTCTCAGGATTATGCCAACGTCTAAGTCATTTTATTTTCAATTGACGCATGCGTCTCGGTGAAGTCCGTTATTCGTGTTCGACTGGGCGTCCCTGAACTGTTAGTGTACGGAAATCTTCATTTGTTTGAAAGAAACTTAGAATTGGGTGAATTGTTGGCCATCATGTGGTCTCTGTTGCGACAGATTATTTGTTATGTCCAAAATCATTTACAGTTTGTACATAGAGTAATTTAGAGAATTCTAACGTAGATCCAAGTTGATTGTTTTTATATAAATAAAAATATTTTTGTCATGTTCATAAATCAACAACTGATGTTTATCAGGAAAAGAAATAGTGTTTATTAGAACTCTTATATAAATTTAATCTTTAAGGTGGTGTGTTTCTGTTTTATTAGTGTTCATTCTACCGATGTAGAGATGGGGATTTACTTCCCTCGGGTGAATGTCGCCTCGCCGTACAGAAATAACCAGCGAGCAATAACGTGATTCAGAAAGCTCAAATATCTATACTAATTTCTAAAAAGATCATTCGTCATAATTATTTTTTATTTTCATAATAAACACAAATAACGAACTGCTTTCATACAGACTACGTAGATTTGTTTTAATATATATTTTGAAAATAATGTAAAATTGTGATTGCTTTCTTGGTTATAAATGCTTTTTTTAACCTGATAACTTTCACAAATTTACGAAAAAGTTCAGCAAGAAATAACAGCTCTCCCATCATGTATCATTTTACGTGGATCCCTTGCCTCAACTTGTGAATAATGTGTTCGAAAGGAAACGCTACAAAAAAGGTGCAAAGCTTGAAGTCATTCAGTAAACCCGCCGTTAACAAGAAACGCATGAAAATTAAGAAAAATGGTTGAAGGCAAACATACTACAGAATACTTGCTTGCCTTATACACATGTATTTAAATATTCAGTTAATAAACAAGACTTCTCTTCATTACAGAAATATCAGGAATAGGGGTAAATAGTTATCCTCACAATGTCAGGGGTCCTGAGTCAACTCGTTGCCAACGGCAACTATTTGATTGAGGACCCGTGACGTTATGAGGATGGTAATAGTACACCTCTTTTGACTAAATGTCAATACCAATCGAGTAGTAATTTAAATCTAGTATGTTGATATGAATATACAAGAAACCAGGCTCTTTTTCCTCTTTTCTAAAGCACCTTCTCACTTTCTAATTAGACGTAAAATTAAAATAATTTTATTTTTCTATTCAAAATTTCGCTTTTGGTTTGTAAAGCACATGTACCAGAGAACTAAAAAATAAGATACATGATACATAAACTATAAAAGTTTTTTTTAATCAACTCTACATCCAGATTTGGAAAGGAATGTCTTTATAATATCTAATGTGTTAAAACACATAGATCTGAGGGGTTTTGGACAGAAATAATCTATAAATATTTTAACCTCGAACAATTTCAGAGAATATAATTCTGATCTTGGGCACACTGAAAATCAGGCTGTAGTCTCTGTTGAATCAGGAAAAAAAAATCTGAAACAAAGCTTTCCAAAAATTGTAATTTATCCTTTGAATAAAATTGATATTCTTAGATGTTTTTGTCCACTGTGAAAATACATGTAGGAGTTTATTTTTACAATGTGAAAATAACAACCGGACTACACGTGTACATGTCAATCGCACAGTGGCGCATAGCAAGAAATATTTAATTAATTCTTATTTTATAGTTCAAAATAATATACGAGTTCTAAAAATAAAGTTGATAATTGTTCAAATCTAGTAAAGTCTTTATCTTTTGAGTCATTCTTATATAGATATATATATATATATATATATATATATATATATATATATATATATATATATATATATATATATATATATATATATATATATATATATATATATACAAATGTAGTCTTATATTCACCTCGCAATATTGTTTTGAATTTCCCTAAAGAGAAAAACCGAAGAAAATGTAATAAACAAAAAATCCAATATTTTGTAGTTGGATATGGAATTTATTTCACTCGTGAGACATGATTTTTGTTTTGTTGTTGGTGTTGGTAATAATTTAGCTTGTAATTTGCAATTTTGAAAAATAAAAAAAATGTCCCAGTCGTGAATTAAATTCTATATCCATTTTCACCACATCGTATAACCTTTATTTCAATACTGAAATAAAAAGCCCGAAATAAATGGTTGTAAGGAGAGAAAATAAATCTTCAACGATTTGATTTTTTGTTTTATTCCTTGTATTATGTTCATCTCACCTTTTCTTACTTGTGTAATTATTTATAAATATAAATACATATACTACTATTTTCTTCACGCTCGTTGTTTGAAATTCTATATTGTATAAGATATCGTAACAGGGTTAGGGACTCAAAAATGGATTCAATCTCAATGCGCAAATACATGTAGTCACAAAATGCATGCCTGACTTCACACACTGATCACCGTCTAAACAGGCCTGTATAGGGCATCCCTACCCCCCACCCCTCCTCTCCATAAAACTTTCTCAAACCTTCGTTAAGACTTTAAATTCTTTTCTCAGAATTTCCGTGTATAGAATTTCTTCTGGGAAATTGTCTCCAATAGCCCAGGTTTCATCTTCGTATTATTTTGGGAACAATTGATTTATCTATATCCTGCTTTGTGACCTATGTAAATTTGGTATTGATGCTAATGGTCTATTTACATCGGGTTCGATTTGGATTCATATTTCCCCTTTTGTTATTATTGACAAGCTGATCGCTCCGTAATGAGGTGTCCAGTTTAACGAAGACATTTTCTCTGAAGAAATCAGTTGAATACACGAAAATTCTGTGAATAAGAATTTAAAATCTTTACGAAGGTTTTAGACATCAGATGTTATAAATGACGGGGCACAATTGTAATTATTTATCAAGTTTGTTTACGTAGTTTGTAATGAAACTGTAAACGCGTGGTAGTTTGTGCATTTTGCTATTTTTACGTTTTCCTATTGATTTTATAGTAGAGTGATGGACTTAATAGGTATACCTACCATGTCGTCGTGTACAATGGGGAGCGCCTATGGAATGGTATAATATCTGCCTTATCAAAAGGTGTATTTACATTATTAAAAAGAAAATAACCACTAACCAATAACAGTTACAAATTAATTTGGAATCTGTATTCAATTTCACATGCAGAGCGATAATTAATGTTCCCTTTATAGACATTATTTGATGCATTAAAAATTGATCAATGTACATGTATTTTCTATTCTGAGATCTAATTTTCAACCAAAAATATCTTTAAGTAAAAGATTAAAGTTTGAATTCTGTGAGATGTGCGCAGGAATAATTTTGAAGTTCTGTTTTTAATCACTGTAAGCTAAAATTAGAGAGAAGAAAGTAATACAACCAATCCTGGTGTCTGTACCAGAGACTTGTGATGTTTATTATGATTAAATATTCTGAACAAAATCGATCCCCATGGAAGGCAGGTAAAGAGACTAAAATCCAATTAGGAAACAAGCAGGTAGTTAAATATATGTCTTACCAAGGACAAGGTTCAGATTTAAATACAAGTGTTTAACAATTGTCTGCCTAATTTTATATATATATATATATATATATATATATATATATATATATATATATATATATATATATATATATATATATATATATATATATATATATATATATATATATACGCATCTTGAGATATATATGTACGCATCTTCACCATATTTTCGACATCAATTCTTTGGTGATAGTTTAAGAGAGGGCTGTAGTACTAGATATTCAGTGACGTATGGACACTGGTTTTATTATCTAGAGAGAGGTCTGTACCTGAGTATATAAAGAACTCCTCCTGTCATACGACCAGATCTAGAGATCTAGAGGAAAAGAAAATGAAATCTTTCTTAGACTGTCTAAAAGATATAAAGACTATACTTATTAAAGTAAATTTCATTGATCATTGAATTACATGTTCAATAGAATCAGCCTGTAAATATTGCAAAGGGCTCAATTTCATAATATATAAGCGTAACCGGCAAAGAGAAAAATGCGACGGACCAGAGTCACCAGACCATGCAGGATTCGAACCCAGTCCCCTGAATTACTAGTCTACTGAGTTCCCTGGCCACTGGCGATCGACTCTGCTTGACTGCTACACAAATGCATGAATTACATAATTACAGTGTATCTCAGGTTGAAATTGTTCCTAAGTTTTAATCGTTATCTGGAATTTGGTTAATTAAAAAAATTTCTATGAAAGCGTTTGATTATATTTTCAAAACATTATATAAAAGATAATATCTTTCGTTAGGCAGATAATGAAAAAATGTGAAGATAACGAACAGTGATCGATCTCAAAAAACACTAAAAATATGTCAACAGAGCATAAAACACAAACCCCCGGAAATTCCAGAGGAGGATCAGATGTCTTAGTAGTAAGCATCCCCTATCGACCGGTCACAACCTCCGTGAGCTGGTAGACGGAATATTCCGTAGACAAAATTAGTGTAAAGTCAAAGGCCTAACAATAGGTATGAAATATATCAGTCAAAACACGACCCAACGATTGGTTGTATTTAAAAACAAGGTCATTAAACGATTATAGAGGTAGGAAATGCTGATTTTAAACGAGGTTGTTGAAATCCTTGTAACATCAACTAATCTGTCAGTAGGCTGTCTCGGTTTAAAAATTGATCTTACTCAGAGCATGCTCTTGAGTATCGAATAAGCTGGGAGACATAGCGGTAAACACCATACATGTATACAATAATACAAGTGATAGCGGAATGTTACTACATAAATCAGGAAAGATGACGATGGAAAAGCTAAAGTCAACTCGTTTGTCATTTAATTTAGTTGTCTCGTTTTCATATAATTTAGTTGTTAGTTTGCCCTTATCATTAATAGTCCGTAAAACATCCAAATAAGAAGCAGACGAGACAGACTCTGTGCCTATTATTTCAAGTTCACTGAGATATATCGAGTGGATATATGAATGGAAGTAACAATTGTTATATTGATAAAACTTCGTCGATATATCTTAGGCCACAGCAAGTGTTTTCTTCTTTTCATGTAGAAGTTTTTGAATAAATTCTGCTTCATAGGAATATAATAGCAGGTCGGCTTATAAAGGAGCACAGTAAGTTCCCATTGTAATTCCAACAGTTTGTTGGAAGACCTGGTATCGTAAGTCTACATAGATGTTGTCTATTTGGAACTCCAGCATCCCTTTAGTATCACCTTCAAAGTACTTGTTTGCAGAGTCAGAGTAATTTTTAATAAAGTAATTTTGTTAATGACCAATCACAAGATACCAAAATGTACGAGTTCCATTTTTTTTTTTTTTTTGAAGAAGCAGTTGTCTGTTATGTTAAAATGCCTAATTTTTTTATCAAG